GTATTTCCCAACCCAGAGTTGGCAACTGTGTAATCATCTATCGGACTACTTTCCAGACCCTTGGAACCCAGAAAACATGGCACAGGAGGAGGTGCTTTTCTACCTTAGCTGCCACTGCATAACACCCCCCTCCCCCTCAAAAAATAAGTCAGAGGTGGAGAGAACCATATCAGTTACCATGAGGCTGTCCTCCGATTCTACCCACTTGGGGCAGCAAAATGACTTGAGACAGCCCTGCCTTATAGCTAAGCAGAAGGAAAGAAACATGGCTTGCCTCCCTCCATTTTCCGCTTCCCTCTGCCGCCCCACCAGCCACAGTTGGGACACTCATCTGGAGCTCCCTTCTCGATCTCATTGTATTTCTTCCCACAACAGGTATTATTCCTAGTAATCAATATAACAGAAGCATTATAAAAGAACCAAGAGTGAATTCATCATAATTGTCCTTGAAGATGCTACACTGTCCATTGGAAGGGAGCCACAGTTGGGACACTCATCTGGAGCTCCCTTCTCGATCTCATTGTATTTCTTCCCACAACGGGTATTATTCCTAGTAATCAATATAACAGAAGCATTATAAAAGAACCAAGAGTGAATTCATCATAATTGTCCTTGAAGATGCTACACTGTCCATTGGAAGGGAGACAAACAACAGAAGAACACAGTTTGCTTTGTTACCACTGATAAAACACTTAATGGGCAGTGTTAAGCACTTTGAATTCCCACTGATTGTAATAGGATTTAAAAAGGTAAAGGTTCCCTTGCTCGAAAGCCAGTCGAATCCGACTCTAGGGTTGCGGTGCTCATCTCTGTTTCAAAGCCGAAGAGCCAGCGCTGTCCAAAGACGTTTCCGTGGTCATGTGGCTGGCATGACTAAACACCAAGGTGCACAGAACGCTGTTACCTTCTCACTGAAGCGGTACCTATTTATCTACTTGCAATTTCTTGCTTTCGAACTGCTAGGTTGGCAGGATAGGATTTACACCTGCTTAATTTCCCTAAAAGGCAAACTAGAGCAACACTGATTGAGTTGCATGGATATCTTCTGCAAAAATGCACTCTGGCACAATTTAGTGCAGCATATTTTGTAATGTGGGCTTTCACTTAGAGAGAGAGAGAGAGAGAGAGAGAGAGAGACCTTCGCAGGCTCTGGGTATAGGGAGGGCCTTGGCTGGCACTACTCTGCAAAGAAAAAACCATTGGAATCCTGTCTTAATTTTGGTTTGGATAAAAATGTTAAAAAATAATTTGCAGCTTGAAAAGCAAACTTCTAGGTGATGTCTGGCTGGCTCCAATAGCACTGGTGGTCCATAACTCTCCATCCTATGGTTGCCAGTCTCCACTTGGGCCCTGGAGGTCTCCTGAAATGACAGCTGATCGCCAGAGATCAGTCCCCCCCCCCAGAGGGAATGGCTGCTCTGGAGGGCAGGCGCAGTGGTGCTATAGCCCGCTGAGGTCCCTCCCCTCCCCCAAACCGGCCCTCTCCAGCACCCCCAAATCTCCAGGAATCTTCCAAGCTGGAGCTGGTGGTCCTACTCTATCCCCAAGACATTTTTAATTATTTTGCCCATTTTCATTGCAGAATTACTGTGTTCTGGCAAAACTGAGAGAGTTTGTCGCATATCCCCGATGCCGGCGAGTGCCCCAAGTGACCGCTCTGAAGGACAAAGCCCGGAGCCTGTACACCATCATGACCTCCTTCTGCCGAAGGGTAGGCTTCCTTCTTGCCTTAACCAGTTTGGTGTTGTGGTTAGGAGCACGGACTCTAATCTGGGAGAGCCAGGTTTGATTCCCCACTCCTCCACATGCAGCTGCTGGGATGACCTTGGGTCAGACACAAGTTCTCTCAGAGCTGTTCTCTCATGAGGAGTTCTCTAAAGAGCTCTCTCAGCTCCACCTACCTCACAGGGTGTCTGTTGTGGGGAGGGGAAGGAAAAGGGATTGTAAGTCACTCTGAGGCCCCGGTCACATGGGCCGGATATTGCGGGGGGGGAGGCGTGGCTGTTTGCCCTGGAGCGAACTACCGCGCGGCCGCCGGATCAAACGTCCCACCAACATCCCGTGGTTCGGGGGGAGGTGCCCATCATACATCAATCCTGCAACGTGGCAAAGAAGCAGCGTGGTGGGGGTTGTGGTTTTTTTAACCGAAGTGTGTGCATGTGCCGTTGGGTGCTTGTGCACATCCTGTGGAGACTTGGGGGGGGGGAACCTTTTCGCGATGGGACATGGGCGAGCGCTGGATGCCACAAGTTCTTTCCAGAAACTAGTACCTCAGAGGTACTAGTTTTTTACAGCACATCTTCGGCGGGAAGCCTTGGGTTAGCCACGGGAGCTCTACGCTTCCCAGATGTTGCGGTTTGATCGCGCCCGGAAAATCCGCCTATCTTCCGTCTCTGTAGCGTGGCTAATGCTACAGAGTGCAGCCTGAGACTCCTTTGGGTAGTGAAGGGTGGGGTATAAATCCAATCTCCTCCTCCTCCTTCTTCGTCTGTTATTGCCTGGTTCCAGGAGAGGTTCCAGGAAAGGATTTCAACAGAACTGGGTCAGGGTTGAACTTCCTGCAGGCTGTGATAGCCCACTAACACACTCTTGTCCCCCCTCACACCATGTCATTGCTGTTTGTCTTATAGACGTCCAGAGTTGACAATGTGGATGTACATGTCTAAGGCCAATCCTTATCCTTCTGCTTTGAGCAATGAGGCAAAGTGGTATAGAAACGTTAATGTGTTTTCATAGCTGCATGTTTTTGGTTCGTGACTTGAGCTTTGAGAAGACAGCACAATAGCTTCAGAGTGCAGGAAGGCACGAGTGTTCCACAGGGCAAGCAGTTAAAAGCACATTACTGTGGGCCTGATCTAGGGAACGAGAAGCATTTTTGATTCTCTTGACTCCAATGAACTTGAGTTACGTGCATGCTTAAGTCTCCCACTGCACTGAACCTTCCTTATTGAAATCTACAAAATGGACTGGCTCTGGCTAAACAGAATAAGAGCCCTCTCCAAGCCAGCAAGCCAGTTTACCTTTGACTGATTGAAAGAGTCATAACCAAGAGCAGCTGGGAATACTGATCAGTCAGAGGAGCCCAGTCTCCAGTGGGAGCTCGGAGGGGGACTCAGGAGCAGAGGTCTGGAATGCCGCTGCTCTTTGGGACTTTGCTGCTCATTCCAGCAACTAGGCCACTGCTGCCTCCTTGCAATTTTATGGAAAGAGGCCGTGCGAGGGGGGGGGGAGCCAAAGAACTAGAGAACTGTGCTCCATTCTCTCCCCCTCCCTCCATGGAAGACCTGTCTGCTTTGAAAAGTGAAAGTTCTTAGGCTTCTGCTACCCAAAAGGAAAAGGATAGACACATAAACAGCTTTCTAAAGACTTGAGAAATAAAAAAGACTCATTCAGAAAGTGGAAGGAGGGCCTTATAACCAAGGGTGAATATAAACAAACAACCACTGCTTGTAGAGAGAGAGTTAGGAAAGCTAAAGCTCAGTATGAGCTTAGGCTAGTGAGAGACACTAAAAACAACAAAAAAGGGTTCTTTTCTTATGTTCCAAGTAAGAAAAGGAGCAAGGACGTGGTAGGCCCATTGCAGGGACAGGAAAGTGAAATTGTAGCAGGTGATGAAGAAATTACTACTTTTTCTTAGTCTTCTCTTGTGAGGGAAACGGTGTTGAAACATGGCAGAATCAGAATACATGATGAGGGAAGGGAATTGCAGCCTAAGATTGGCATAGGGGTAGTACATAAACACCTAGCTTCTTTAAATGAAACTAAGGCCTCTGGGCCAGATGAACTGCATCCAAGGGTACTAAAAGAACTCGCGGATGTAATTTCTGAGCCTCTATCCATTATTTTTGAGAATTCTTGGAGAACAGGTGAGGTGCCAGAAGATTGGAGGCAGGCAAATGTTGTCCCCATCTTCAAGAAGGGGGAAAAGGAGGATCCGGGTAACTACTTGACGTCTATATCTGAGACAGTTTTAGAAGAAATCATCAAACAGACAGTCCTAGAGCATTTAGAAAGGACATTGTGATTAATAAGAGCCACCATGGGTTTCTGAAGAACAACTCATGTCAGACTAACCTTATCTCTTTTTTTTGAGAAAGTTACTACCTTGCTGGATCAGGGGAATGCTGTAGACATAGTTTATCTTGATTTCAGTAAGGCTTTTGATAAGGTTCCACATAATATCCTTGTTGACAAATTGGAAAAATGTGGTTTGGATCCTATGACTGTTAGGTGGATCTGTAACTGGTTGACAGTTTGCACCAAAAGAGTGCTTGTGAATGGTCCCTCATCTTCTTGGAGAGGACTGACAAGTGGAGGGCCTCAAGGATCTGTCCTGGGACCTGTTTTGTTCAACATCTTTATCAATGATTTTGATGAAGGGATAGAGGGAATGCTTATTAAATGTGCAGATGATACTAAATTGGGAGGGGTAGCAAACAGTGTCAGGATACAGGATGATCTTGACAGGCTGGAAAACTGGGCTAAAACAAATAAAATGAATTTCAGTGGGGATAAATGTAAAGTTCTGCATTTAGGTAGGAAAAATCAAATGCATAATTATAGGATGGGGGAGACTTGTCTTGGCAGAAGTATGTGTGAAAAGGAACTAGGGGTCATAGTAGATCATACACTGAACATGAGTCAGCAATGTGATGCGGTTGCTAAAAAGGTGAATGCGATTTTGGGCTGTATCAACAGAAGTATAGTGTCCAGATCACACGAAGTGATGGTACCGCTTTACTCTGCTTTGGTTAGACCTCACCTGGAGTATTGTGTTCAGTTTTGGGCACCACAATTTAAGAAAGATATAGACAAGCTGGAATGCTTCCAGAGGAGGGCAACTTAGAAGATGGTGAAGGGTCTGGAGACTAAGTCCTATAAGGAATGGTTGAAAGAGCTGATTACGTTTAGCCTGGAGAGAAGACGACTGACAGTTGTTCGGCAAACTGGCTGACGTCAATTGAGAGACCGTGCTGTTTGTGGGCTCCCAAGTAAGAAGACTTTGACCATTGCTATTGGTTGCTGTCCATTGATCCAACAGATAGCATTCATTGTGCTGTGGATCCAAGTATGGAAGCCCTTACTCTGGAGAAGAGGCTCTCCTCATGTTGTGGCCAGTTTGACGTATTGCAGAAGCCAGTCAGTTTTTGAGACAAGAATGGCCAAGCAGCTCCATGTGAGCCAGATCCAGGCTCCAGATGCAGATTTTTATCAAGATTATTTTTCTAAAACTCAGCCATTGTTTTTGTCCACAGTTTTGCTCTGAGGGAATAAAAACAAGGCTTACAGATAGCTTAACTGGTAGGATTTTGTTTAATCAATGGGAACGTTTCAGGGCCCAGATTATTGTCTGGTGAATCACATTGCCCTGAGAATGTATCATTTGAGCACCTCGGGTGGCCAGCTCTGGGTTGGGGGTGGAGCCTGAGGAGAGCGTGGTTAGGGGAGGGGAGGGGAGGGGCATCAGTGGGAGGGGTACACTGCCATAGTGCCCACCCTCCAAAGCAGCCATTTTCTCCACGTGATCTCTGTCGCCTGGAGATTAGTTGTAATCCCAGGAGATCTCCAGCCACCAACTGGAGGTTGGCAAGCTTAGTTTTCAGGAGGTGACACAACTGCACAATCCTCTCACACATGAGCTACACAGTCACAAATGTGGGTTGTGCAGAAGAACAACTTTGCTCTTGCACAGATCCCATTCCTCTCAATATGGCCTACGCAAGAAACCGTCCCAGTGGATTGGGCCCTCCTGGGTCTTTTTTTCCTCCCGGGAGCATTTTTATGTGTATTGCTTATAACCCAATGATTTTTCTCTCCTCTCCCTAGGACTTGGTCTTTCTTAGTGAAGACTGCAACGCTCTGGAAATTCCCATGCTTTCGCCTACCGATCAGTCAGCCATTCAGAAGTAGGATTCCAGCATACTTCAGGAAATGCTTGGAAAGAGACCAACCATTCCAGAGTGCTGTTGAATGAAAGGAGAACAGCCTTAGTTCTTTCAGAATATGAGCCCCGGCAATACATTTCTCAGGATGCCAGCAAATGAGATGTGTGCCTTGCATACCTTCTGGGCTGCTCGTTAGATGGCATTTTAAACGTTTTAGCTAGTTTGGCTAGAAGTTTAGCTAGAAGTGAAATACTAGTAGAAGAAAGTTGTTGTTGCTACTCTTGAAATTACTATGTGTGTATCAAAAAAAATAGATATTGTGAAGGCTATCATAGTCTACAGGCTGTTCAGCAGTGGTAGAAGGAAGCATCAGACAAAGGCTGTGGGCATGAAATACTAGGAAGATCACTCTGCGTGCCTTATCTGAATGAATGGGAGCTATGCGAGAGGATGGTAGATCCAGTCATTCCAATGCAAAAGAACTCTTCCCAGAGGACTGGAGCCAGCATGCTGAGGATTGGAGGGGATAATCAGGACATGCCACAGCTGACACAGAGGGCATTTTGCCTGCTATGTGTAATGAAAAGCTCCACGGAAAAAGAAATTGGAAAAGCCATCCCATGCAGAGGACTGATCCTCACTGGCTGCCTCTCAGTCAAGTACCCTCTTTCTGAAAAATTAAACTGCAGAAGGCCATTGATATTTGCCTTAAGGTTGCTAATTGCTGTCCTGCAGTGAGGAATCCAAATTGTGGTGGCATGAAAGTAAAGACCTAGATGCTTAAAGTATCTTGCTTGTTCAAGCTTATGAGCTCCATATGAATTGCTTCCTGGATTTTGAGAAGACTATGGCTGATTTTGCACTAGAGCTGCCTCGATGTTGCGCCGCCGTTTGCCCCGATACTATTGGTCAATTTCACACCCGAAGCTGCGGGGCTGCATTTTGACTCGCGGCTTCGCCCGATTTCCCCCGTAGTTTCGTAATCCTGTTTTTTGAGGATCACGAAACTGCAGAGGAAATCGGGTGAAGCTGCGGGTCAAATGCAGCCCCACGGTTTCAGGTGTGAAATTGACCAATAGTATCGGGGCAAATGGCGGCACAACATCGAGGCAGCTCTAGCGCGAAATCAGCCTATAATTTTTGATTTCTCATAATTTAGCTCCAATTGGTTGATCTTACAGTAACCCTGATGGCTGTTTAGAAGTCGAAGCAGACCCACATGAGTGCAAGAAAGCAGAGCCGCATCATCTGCATATAACAGGATTGGTATATGGGTGGAGCCTAACTTAGGACAGTGTCCATCTTTCTCTCTCCCTGCACTAGGATTAATTCCAAGGGTCGCCTGCAAGCTGGTATGACCACATTTGTATCTACTAAATACAACGTTAAGCTCCTTAATCTTCAAGACCGCCGTATTCCAATCATGGGAGTCCTACTCACCTGCAGTGGAGCCTCTCTTGTAATAGTAAATGTCTATATGCCGCCTACGCAGACGAGAGTAGACCTAGCCAAACAGTAGGACAAATTGTCTGCTCTTCTGGAACAGATGGTTCAGTCATGCCCCCATGGGGATATAGTCTTAGCCGGGGATTTTAACGCCAGAGTGGGTAACAGCATACTGAGCCTTGCGAACAATGCTGGCCTAGATCAGGAGACATTTTCTCCTCTATTATTATCTGAATGCAGGCACTCCAGGGACAATATTTCCAATTTAGCTGGCCAATATTTTATTCAAATGTGTGCCCAGTTTAATTTAACCTGTCTGAAAGGTTTAGAGGATTATAGAAATGTGGAGAACTACACATTTCTCTCCACAAGGGGCTGCAGTGTAGTTGATTACATGCTGATTTCCTTAACCCTGCGACCACACACCCTTGATTTCTTAATTGGAGAACAGCTTTGCAGTGATCCCTTACCTCTGTCTCTCTCTCTCTCTCTCTCTCTCTCTCTTTCTCTCTCTCGACTTGAATGCTAATATTTCCCAACCCCCATTCCAAGAGCTAGAATCTCCACTAAAACGTCCGCGGTCCTTCGAAATAAGAGCGAATATTCCAGAAATATTAAATGCCCTCTCTATTTTGGAGCTCGGGGATAGATTAAATAAATTATCTGGACCATCACGAAGCAGAATCCAACCACCTGACTCTTTTGTCCTTTATAATTGAGTCACTGAAACAAAGACCCAAAACAGAACAACTCAAGCCCCCTGGGGAGGGCCACTGGTTTGATGGAGAATGCAAAGAAATGAAGGCACACCTACGTTCAATATATCATAAATTTCACAACTCATCAGCTACCTGTCTCCCTGAGGAATACCAAATTTATAAAAGTCATTTAAACACTCTTATTGAATTTAAAAGAAGTTCATACGTGAACAGACAATGGAATCGACTCATAATTTCCATCCAGCATAATGACTCAAAACAATTTTGGAAACTGGTTAACAGAGCTTTTTGATTAGAAACCCCTGTGCCCTTTCCTATCTCACCTTCCTATTCCACCTGGTACCAATATTTCCTAGATTTATTCCAAGAGAAAACTCTCGAGCCCTTGCATACGGTCAAAATTGTGCTAGATGACACCCCAGAATGGGCCCCCGTTACTACAGAAGAAGTAGCTACGCTGATTGATCAACTAAAACCAGGTAAAGCATCGTACCCTGATGCAATACCCTTGGAAGTCTTAAAAGCAGATCCAAAATGGTGGGCACCTCCATTGGCCACTTTCTTTACTATTATAAACTCTACTGGACATATCCCCTCCATGTGGACAACTGCGATTATTGTACCAGTTATTATTGAGAGCCAGTTTGGTGTAGTGGTTAAGTGCGCAGACTCTAATCTGGGAGAACCGGGTTTGATTCCCCACTCCTCCACTTGCACCTGGCTAGATGACCTTGGGCAAGCCGTAACTCTGGCACAGCTGTTCTTGAAAAAGAGCAGTTTCTGTCAAAAGTTCTCTCAGCCCCACCTACCTCACAGGGTGTCTGTTGTGGGGAGGGGAAGGGAAAGGAGTTTGTAAGCCGCTCTGAGACACCTTTGGGTAGTGAAGGGCAGGGTATAAATCCAATCTCTTCTTCTTCTTCTCTACCAATCTTTAAGAAGGGCAACCATTCAATCCCCTCTAACTTTAGACCTATAAGTCTACTATCTGTTATAGCCAAACGTTATGCCAAATTACTACAAATCATGTTTAACAATTGGCTAATAACACAGAAAATGATTGGTCCAGAACAAATAGGTTTTAGACAAGGGAAATCTGCCATGGACCATTGCTTAGTCAGTTTGGTGCAGTGGTTAAGTGCGTGGACTCTAATCTGGGAAAACCAGGTTTGATTCCCCACTCCTCCACTTGCACCTGGCTGGACAACCTTGGGCAAGCCGTAGTTCTGTTAAGAAGAGCAGTTTCTTGAAGAAGAGCAGTTTCTGTCAAGAGCTCCCTCAGCCCCACCTACTTCACAGTGGGGAGGGGAAGGGAAAGGAGTTTGTAAGCCGCTCTGAGACACCTTTGAGTAGTGAAGGGCGGGGTATAAATCCAATCTCTTCTTCTTCTTCTTCTTCTTCTTAGTTTTCTCTCACTTAACAAACAAGTAAGATGCAGCCAAGTACCCACTGAAAGAGGTTGACTCCATCCCTGCTTTCCACACCAACCTTCATAAGGAGCCACCTTTGGCTTCATCTTCGAGGTGCCACCTTTGCAGAATTCAGCTGCAGTGGAGGAATTATCCCAAGAGGATGGGGAAACTATGCAAGAAATAAAATGGTTTCTCAAAAGAAAACATTCCCCAGTATTTTCTGTTGCCAATTTCCATTGCTTTGCTTTCTTGTGTATACAACTGAAGAAAGTTCAGGGTACAGAATCCAGACCTAAGCTTAGCTGTAACTCCCTCCTTGGAAACCTTGCCTAGATTACACCCTGTAAGACTGCGGGCAAGAGCTTCCATGACGGCATGCACCTGCATATAGAAATTCAGCTCAGAGAGTGGCATGAGGTGTAGCTTAGCCTTCTCCCTGACCACTCGAGTGCTCTGTCCGAAGAGGGGTTTTTTTAGAGAGAGAGATGCCAGCTCCCCCCTGTAGTCTGAAGTGCTCTGCTGAGCCCAGACTACAGGCTTGTGACCGCAGGAAGGGCTTAAACTTCATGCTATTTAGGAGATGCAGTATTAGACCCCCCCATAGATTAATGTTAACCTTAAAAAGCAGTGACAAGAGGACTCGAAATGGATCAGGATGACACCATTGGGTTGACACCAGGCACCCAAATTTCATTTTATACAGGGGGGGGGGGCAGAAATAGCATGGGGAAAGGGTGAAAACTGTTTCTCTGTCCCCAGCCTGAATTGTGGGCTCCATGGCTGCTTATTAGCACTGAAAAGGCAGGGGGGTGATATCTGGTCAGGGAACTCCCTTTAGATGTGTTGAGAAGGCTAGAGGAAGAGGCTCCACAGCTGTACTCAGGAACTTGTAGTCAGGGCTGTGCAAGGCATGTTTGGTTTTAATTCCAGAGCCAAAGACTGTACAAAGTTCTATTTTCTCCTGTTGTGAACGCAGTAAACATAATGTAGATCACAAACAGGAAGTGTTTCTTTTTGTCTTATTTTTTTTTAAAGGTACTGAAAATAAATCAGAGGGGAAAAGAGCCGCAAGGAGGTGGCACTCTGCCCTCCTGCAAGTTTTTATGAGACGGCCATCGACTCGGTGCACTGACAGAGGTTGCCAACCTCCTAGAGTTGCCAGCGCTGGTTTAGGAAATCCCTGGAGACTTTGGGGGGGTGGAGCCTGGGGAGGGGGGTTTGGGGAGGACAGGGGCCTCAGTGGTGTTGAGAAGGAGACTGATATTTTGCTGTTTATGGACTTATATATATGCTAACACACTATATGAATTGTGCACACACATGCCTAGGCCCAGGGAAAGCTGTTTGCAATCATCTGTTGTGTGAGAAGGTTTACACACAGAGGGTGCTTTGCCTGTGTACTTGCATTTCATGTTAATGAAGCTAGTAAATACACTAAAGCCTGGCCTGAGGGAAAGGAGCACATTCGCCATTGTTAGCAGCAACTGCAGTTCAAAAAGACAATCCATTCCACCATTACTGAGAGACTCGCTGTCACGCAATCCATGTCTGGATCTACATCTGACTTGCCAT